GGACCATCTGCCCCATAAAAAAAAGCCCCCCAAAAAAAAAAAAAAAAAAAAAAACCCAGCCTCTAAAATTCTTCTATTTTGACACTCAAGCATTTGAAATACCCTTGTTTGGGGATGTCAGGAAAAATAACTATATAGGCAGCTAGCTCCTCTCTGCTTCAGAGAAGATTACCCCTGTCAATATTCTTACTTGATAACTGCATAATACAGACTAGTTCAAGGTGAGTGCAAATGAGACCACTTAGCTATATAAAGTAATAGATTAAATTGTCCTTGATTTTAAAACAAAAGACTTAGGATGTCAAACAGTGCTTTATAACCTAGTTTATAAATATTTACCATAAATATTTGTGGAATAGAATGAGCACTTAGATGCTCATAGGGTCATTTTAAAATTAGAATATACTTTCTGTAAGTGGCCAATAATTCAATCACTAAAATATATTGATTTAAACTATGGGGTCTGGGGCTGCCAGGTGGGGTGGTGGTTAAGGATGCTAGACTCCCACATGGCTAACCGCAGTTCGAGTCCAGGACCTGGCAGCTTGCTTTCTCACTTTCTGTCTCTCTCACTCTATTCCTCTCTGGTCAAATTAAAATAAATAAAGTAAAATAATTCTAGGGGCAAAAAAAGATGGACCATTATTTAATTAAAAAATAAACAAACTATGGAGTCTACAATCATATTGTGATGCATTGTTGCAAAAACTTCACTTACTAAAATACACCATTCCTATCACACCATATATAGCACATTTGCAGTGGGCTTAAGATTTTTATTTTGGCTTATACATATAATAAATTCTGAGATTAAGAACATGACAGGAATAAGAGAGAGGCCAAAAAGTGCCTAAGCACTGATAATCAGCCACATAGCCAGTCACAGGCTGCTTTCTGACTGCTACTCTAACGTCTTTTGGACAGCACTGGACTTTCTACTGTGCCATTTGGCAAAAGGAGATCAAACAAGAGTGATAACATGGCCCAGAATAAAAGTAAAAAGAATCAACTTTACTTAATATATTTTATTTTTTGTTTTATTATGTGTTTACTATAACATAGTCACTTCTCTTCCCGGGAATCTGAGGGCACCTAGGATCAACCACTGGCTGCACTTTTTTTTAGTGAATGATTAAATTTGGGTATAAATGTGAGACCAGCAGTTGGCGTAATGGCTACGTTACTGGACTTCCATGTAGTCGACTGCAATTCGAGTTACGTTACTGGACTTCCATGTAGTCGACTGCGATTCGAGTCCAGACTTGGTGGCTTAAACTCACGCTGGGTGCATGTGTGTGCGTGCCCAAGATCCCGAGAATGGAAGCAAAGGGATTGGGGCATGGGGCATGGCCATCTCCCCTGGGGGGGTGATTTCTCACTTTCTGTCTCTCTTTCTGGTGAGCACACATGCCCTATAGCAAAAACCTCTCAAAAAAAAAAAGGTGGGTATAAATGCTGAGAGAGGCAAGAAGTCTATTAAAACAGATCAGCTGCTCAGGCAGTGGTGACAACACTGTGATGTGAAAAGTGACATGGAAAGGTCCCAGATTTATGCCCCAAGGTTTCCTTGTACACACGAGGTGCCCATGTGTATGCCTGTGATTCTGCATGGCTGAGGCCAGAGTAGACCCTGTGGCGGTGTCTGTCTGTGTGTCTTTCTCTGCCTCTCTTCTCCTCTCTGTATGTCTTTCCCTGACTTGTGAATGAAACAAATAAACAAAAAAAGATTACAAGAAGCAACCTGTTGGCTATCAGACCAGATCTCTGGAGAGCCTTCCTTCAACAATTAGGATTTTAAGAGCAAAATAGCATCTCATATCCTAATTAAGAAACTGTTGAGGTCAGCAAGTGGTATGGAGGTTAGGGCACCAGATCCCACAGAGCTGGCTCTGCAGTTCCTGTCAGACCTAGTAGCTTATAAATCATGCCAGAAGCCTGTGTGTGTACCCAAAATCCCAAGAGGAGAAGGGATTGTAATGTGGCCATTCTCCCTGGCGGGGGAGGGGAGATTGATGTGTGATTTCTCATGTGTCCCATAGCAAAAACTTAAAAAAAAGAGGAAAAAAAAAAAAAAGGAATGAAATGATTGAAGGTAGTGTTTAGTTCAACTGGCAATATTCTCAGTGCTGAGAATAATGGTTCTTATCACTCAAAGAATAAATCCATAGCGCCTCAGAATGCCATGAGAAAGGCAGGCAGCTACAAGTTAGTGGCTGACCTCAGGAAGTCTCTACCCATTTATGAATTAAT